GAATCCAAAATATCCTCGACTTCCCACTCCTCCTGTCCTTCAACTTCGACCGGCGGTGGTGGTAACTGTTGTTGTCCTGGTAAAGGATCGTTTGCTGCAGACGACAATAAAGAGACATGGAATACGGGATGAACTTTCATAGAACGAGGGAGTTCCAACTCATAGGCATAAGGACTAACGATTCGCTTCACGATATATGGTCCAATGCGTTTCCAATCAAGTTTCTTCGAAGGGCGTTTGGTGAGGACATGGCGTGTTGATAAGAAAACTCGATCTCCTACTCGATAGTGGGGCGCTGGAGTCCGATTCATATTGGCCGACTCCTCCTGTATCCTTTGTGCTCGGAACATTTCATCTCGTAGAAAATCTAATATTTCCTTCATTTCCCGTGCAATACCATTTGCTTGATCTTCCGCCATGGTCCTACCATGTTCCAAGGGTCCAAAAGTCATTCGAGGATTTCTTCCCGAATTAGCGTAGAAAGGAGAGATTTTCGTTGTTTCTGAAGCATGGTTATTGGTTGCAAATTCTGCCATTGGTAACCATCGGGCCCAGTCGTCCTGTTGATAGGAAACATAACTCCGAAGGTACTGTTCCATCACGGCATTAATCCTTTCCGTCTGCCCATCCGTCTGAGGATGGAACGCGGTAGAAAACTTTGGTGATATTTCCAGACGGTCGCAAAGAGACCTCCAGAATTCCGCAACGAATTGTGTCCCTCGATCGGATACCATAGTGTCAGGTAATCCATGTAACTTCCAAACATTGTCAATATACAGTCTCGCTACTTCCCTTGAGTCCGCCTCCTTTGTTGTTGGTATTAGGTGTCGCATCTTAGTTAACCTATCTACCACGACCAAGATTGCATTGTATCCATCGCTCTCTGGGAGGTCGGTAACAAAGTCCATTGACACATCCGTCCATGGTCCATCGGGTATTGGCATCGGCCGGAGTACTCCATAGGGTGCATTGCGTGGTGCCTTGCTACGGGCACACACATTGCAATTCCGAACATACTGATCGATATACTTCCGCATTTGTGGCCAGTAATACTCTCGATTCAGGAGTTCCAAAGTCTTCGCTCTGCCTGGATGACCTGCCGATGGTTTGTCATGATACTCTTTTAGAAGTCTTAGCCGAAGATCATTGTCGTCGGGTACATAGAGTACGCCACGGTAAAGTAGCCGACCGTTGTTGTCTTCCGTACATTCGGCAAGCGAGATCTTATTCGAGTGACGGATGCCGTTCCGAAGCATCGCGAGAACTTTGTTCGGGAAACTGTCAACTTGGTAAGCATTTAAAAACAACTCTTCTACAGTGGACATTCCTTCAGCGGATTCATTTGAAAAAGAACCCGCGAACAAACTTAGCTTTAAATCCAAATTTTTTCGCTTCAAAACCACCTGGCTTTGATGCATCAACCGTTCATCCCCCTCCTTAGGTAGGTCACCCGACCTCCTAGTCAATGCATCCGGCTTTGCCCCTTGTTTCCCTGGTCTAAATTGAATGACGAAATCGAAACGTGAAAGAAATTCCGACCAACGGGCTTGTCGACGGTTTAATAGCTTTGTTGACATGAAATATTCGAGGTTCCTATGATCGCTGAGGACTTCGATTGGAAATTGTGCCCCTTCCAAATGATGTCGCCACTCCTCAAAACATCGTACAATTGCCAGAAGTTCTTTGTCATAGATTTCGTAGTTGCATTCCGCAGGGGAATGCTTCTTTGAGAAGAAAGCAACTGGATGTAAAATTCCTTCATCATCACATTGGGACAGGATTGCAGCAGAAACATAGTCGGATGCATCGGTTTCTACTACGATTTTCCGATTCGGATCAAAGTGCGCTAGTATGGGTGCCGTTGTAAACATCTTTTTCAATGTCTGGAATGCTTCCTCCCTTTCATCCGTCCATTCGAACTTAACATTTTTCTTCGTCAAAGCCGTAAGTGGAGCAACAATCTTTGAGTATCCTAGGATAAACCGTCGATAGAAATTAGCGAATCCCAAAAATACCTGAACATCATGAAGGTTCCTTGGTGTAGACCACTCCAAAACATCGACAACTTTCTTCGGATCCATTCGATTCCCATCCGGGGTGAGAATCAGGCCGAGATACTTTGTTTCCTGAACCATAAACTCGCATTTCTCAGGTTTAAGGTGAACATGATTCTCATCAAGTACCTTCAGAACCTTCTGAATATGCTCTTTGTGCTCCGACAGAGTCTCCGAATAGATCAGGATATCATCGAGATATGCCGTTACAAATTGATCGAGGTAAGGACGTAGAATATCATTGATCCAGTGTTGAAATGTGGCAGGGGCATTCGCTAATCCAAACGGCATTACAGTATACTCGAAATGTCCATAACGAGTCCTGAACGCCGTCTTCCATTCGTCTCCCTTGGCTACCCTGATTTGGTTATATCCCCAACGTAGATCCAGCTTGGTGTAGTATTGCGCTCTTGATAATTTGGCCAGGGTTTCCTTTAACAATGGTAACGGATATCGATTTTTAACCGTGATTGCATTGAGACCTCGATAATCCACACAGAGCCGGAGAGTCCCATCACTTTTCTTTACGAACAGTATGGGTGCTCCCGCTGGCGACTCACTGGCCCGAATAAATCCCTTAGGTAGGTTTTCATCAAGGTATTCCCGTAGTGCTTTTAGTTCGATTTGGGAGAGGCCATATATCGGTCCATGGGGAGGTCGTTTACCTTCCTTCAATATTATCTCAATATCATGGGACGGTCGATGAGGTGGAAGGGCTGAGGCATCATATTCTTGGAACATATGGAGACGATGGTGGAATTCCTTTGGTACTAGTTGCTTGACGTCGACGGTGGATTTCTCAACTGCTGAAACGACAACAGTATGATGTTCCGGTAGAGGGATCGATATTCCATGGACAGTAACTGTCGTTCCACTGAGTGAACAGTGTTTAAGACAGTTCCGAGAATCAAAAATAAGTAGATTATCTTTTGGCCGAATGGTGACATCGTGACGTCGCATCCACGGTATTCCCATCACGATCGGATAATGTCCCAACTTTGTAACGAAACATGAGGCAATTTCTCGGTGACCATGAATATCCAGCGACACATTGACAATATGGGTGATCTGTCCTGATTCAATAGGCCTTCCATCCATAACATCTACCTCACGAGGTACTTTAAGGTGGGTCATTGTAAGATTATTGTGACGTACAAAAGATTCGTCAATAAAAGCGTATCCAGAGGCTCCGGTATCAATAAGGGCATAGGTGGGAATAAAAGAGTCGGGATTCTGAGAGACCGAGCAGGTAACAACAAGAGAGTCTTCGGACATCTTATCCTCAGACACAGCGGCAACAGGGAGAACAGAAACAGGTGGCGGGGCTGGCCCCTTTGGTTTGCCATTTTTTACCAAAGGGGCTGACCTTTTAACGCCGGCTTTGGGGATCCATTTTCAAGTGGCCTTTCTCGCCAATTGCTAATGGAACGGGGATCTTTGGCGCGAGGAGCCAGGTAACGAGGTTTGGAGACATGGCGAGATTTAACTGTAGCGGTGGAAACAGAGATACGAGAACGAAGGTCAGCGATGGTGGCATTGGCTTGGGCCTCCCAGGCCTTTGCAACAGAGGTGATGTGAAGAATCTCATCTTCAGCATCAGCGAGGTTTTCGTCAGTGATGGCGAGGCTTTCCTGATGTAGTGCCAGGCGATACCGAAGCTCCTCCTCTTCGGCCTTAGACTCCTCCAGCTCAATCTTCAAAGCAATGATAACCTCGTCGCGACCTCGGATGATCTCGGTAGAATCTTCCTGGTTATCGCACAAGGTTTGCCAAAAATCGGCAGCCTTTTCGTTGGCTGCTTCTAGTTTTGTGGTGAGGCTGGTAATAACCTCTTCCTGGGCCGTATCGATGACAGGTTCTGGTGGCGTGGGGGTGTCGAGAGGCTTGGTGAGAGCCTCCAAACACTCAGCAATAAGACCATGAGCCTCAGTAAGTTCTTCGCCGAAGTCTATATCGGCTGGGAGGGGACCATAGGTGATCAGAAATTCTGAAAGACGCTGCAACAACGTATCTTGAGTGGTGTCGGACATGGTCGCGACCGGAGCTAAGCGATGCGGTGTTGTATTGGTTGGCTGTAGAGGATGCAACCTAAGTGTAACGGGGACTATGGGCGTAGAAACTATGAAGCCAAGGAATACAACCGAGGCGGAGACGTGGACGTAGGAGGTTCGTGGACTATGGACTATGGACTATGGGGCCGAAGGGTACACCTAAGGCAAGAACGGGGACTGTGGACTATGGACTATGGATGGTTGTACCTGGTCTAGTATACCGGGTAAACCCTATGACGTAGCGCGAACAAAATAGTATTCGTAACTGTGAAGTACAGAGGTTGCATAAAGAGGAAAGAGAAAGAAAGAGAAACAAGAAATCACGAGACAACGCCCCCCCTTATATATCCATACCCTATCCCAATGCTGACTCATACCCTCGCGTAACAGAAACAGAAAGAACATAATAGAAACCCGCTTTACTAAACCCAACCACACTGCATTATCCTTCTCCCTTATACCCAGACAACTCACATAGCCAACCCGTCTAGCTGCCGTTACATTTTCCTTGTGACTGTATACTGAACTTTCCAGATAGATCTGAGTGGATTAGTTCGAATGGTCGTTTGGATCTAGTACTAATTGGTGCAGGTTTCTTATGTACGCTCTTTGATAGTGCACATTGACTGCAGTGGAAACTTTCTGGTTTGGGAGGCAGCCTTTGAATGTCGTGATACAAGTTTTCTAGTGTCGCAGGGTGGCCTAACGCTTGATGCCATTCATCGTAAGTGGTCAAACGAACTGTATTGCTAACTACTTGTACATTCCAAAGTCCCTTTTCCAATTTTGCCCAAATTATTCCTTTCTTTTCTTTTGTAACCAACTTGCTTCCTCCTCCTGACTCCGTTCTAAATCCCTTTTTGTCGAGCACGGTTTCGGAGACCAATCCTACATTTCATAAGGTTGGGACCAACAGCACATCGGTGAGGAGAATGGAAGATCTACTTCCATCGGGAAGGTGGCAGCTGAAACTAGCGCTTCCCATTCCGGTGACAGCGTGGTTGGTTCCATCAGCTGTTCGGACATTGCCGGTGTGAGGTCGGATGTTAATGAGTTGGTCTTGGAAGGGTGTGACATGAGAGGTCGCTCCAGAATCAAGGATCCAAGTAAGGGGTTGGGAGATGTCGTGGCGTACCATACAGATAGTGGTTGTAGAGTCATTTACTACAACCGATGCCGAGTTGTCTTTTCTCCTTCCCTTCCTGTTCTTGTTCTGTTCTTTGAGCTTTCTGCACTCCGTGTACTCGTGGCCTTTGTAAGGCTGTCCCCTTTTCTTGCACCAGGTGCATTCCTTGTCGCTTGTGGTACTCCTGGTATGGAGCACTTTGTTTCCTGTTTGAGGGGCTACCTCATCCAGGTTCTGTAGTCGTTGGCGAACGTCTTCGTAGGTAACATCCTGTTTGGTCTGGATGTTGTCGACAACGTTGCTCCTCGATTTAGGTAGCGAGCTTAGGAGGAATGCCGCCATGGCTTCGTTGGATTTGGTGAGGGGTAGGAGAGCCTCAGCGAGTTTGTGGTCTGCGCTTTAGCATCTGGACTTGAGAGTATTCCAGTTCGCATCGAAAGTTGCGAGATGCTCGGTCAGTGATCCGCCTTCTTGCATCTTCGTGTCTAGGACGCGGCTGAGGAGGGTGATCGTAGTGTTGGGTGAGACACGATCGTAGAGGTCTTTGAGCGCCTTCCATGCGTAGAATGCATTTTCGGCGGAGACGACTGTTGGTTGTATTTCTTCGCATACAGCAGAGATGAGAAGGCTGTGCATTTGTTTACGAGCCTTCTTTATCTCGGTTTTGCTGAGTTCGGTGTCATTCTCGTCAGGGTTCTCGATGCTCAACGCTTCCCACCAGTCTACAGCGTCGAACGTTATCCTCCAGGCACTCGCCCAAGTTTGGTAGTTGGATTGCCCTTGTAGTTTAGGGAGTCTATCAAACTTGAGACGAATGTTACTGGTGGCTGTTGTCTCTGAGGGTTTGATCTCAGCAGCCTTAGATGACGATTCTCCTTCTGAAGGCATGATGTTGTATGAAGTGTTGTTGAGTTAAGCGAGGTGGCGATGGTGTAGTGCGGATTCTATTTGGCAGAACCCGGGCTCATAACCTGTGATTTGAAGTGTGGGAGAATAGACGACTTGAGGAGGGTTTGAACACGTGACCTTTGTGAGGACTATGTTTATAGTGCAAAGAAGATACTATTGCGCCGCTGAGTTCCGGCGACAACTATGGGAGTTTGTTACTCCTTATATACAGATAGTTCTTAGTACCACGTGATCCCCTGATTACATAATCCTAGCGCTAAGCCTCCTTGTTCCAACTATGAGTCATCCCTTATACATGAGTAATTACCATACATAACCGATGTCGCAATGCCATATTTTTACACCTACAATTCTTATTAATTCCAGCAGCTTCCATCCCGAATCCCTATTGATCAATACAAGGTTTATTTATGGCTTACCATTTAGAATTATGACACTCTCATTATGTCATTTTTTGAACCTTCGTCGATCAAAAAAATCAATTATAGATATCGTGGCGGTACAATATGTACTGACGAGTCGCGCCGGAGATTCAGCCATATCAGGAGAAGCTCCACATGGACGAAACCCGCCATAGAAAGATTCCCCATGTTTCATTGCGTCGTCAAATCGGAATCCTGGAGAGCTTCATTGGTGTTTTGGGAGCTAACTAGGTTTACAGCAATATTCCGCTCCCCCCCCCCTTCGAATATGTACCCCCACATAGTATCCTTTCCGGGACGTGACTGCGCACTGTTCATACAGAGCCCCTAATATTATACACTAGGACGTTGAATTAAGGTGTAAGACACAAGCCTTCTCTCGCATGTGCAAGCAAGTTGGCTCGAGCTTCCTCTCCCAACTAGGAGCTCCTCCTGGCCTGGTTAGAAATACAGCTGGGTTACTTACTCAGCTTTGATGGTGAAATTCTTCAAGTCAACGACAACTTGGTCTGATATACAATTCTTTATTTCAACGTCTAATCATGAGCTTCGTGGTACCATCTCAAATCAACCTTCCCTCCCGACTACCGAAGAACCGACCGACCCGAGCAATGCTGATGTGTCCCCATCCTGAGAAAAAAAGAAAAGGAGAATGTGTAGTTGAACTGGTCACATAAGTAACTAGATGGTTTCACGATAACTGCCGGCCTCCTGAGAAGACGGCATTCATTTGAGGCCTATGGAATTATGAGACGCTTCGTATAATGATCGGTCAGCTGCCTCCTAGGGAGAAGCATCATGTAGAGTACTCTACAATCCCACGGCTCAGCTCATATTTGAATCTTGAAACGCTATGTCGGTCAAAGTCTTAAAGTGCCTCGAAAGAAAGAAAGGTCCCGTCGAGGTATAGACAGGCACCTCACTCAGGAAAGCCATGGATTCAACTATTGGTCTAGAGGGTTTTCAAGATTTTGATTAGGTCGATGGCTCTGTTGAGATGTCGTGTTACTTCTGTGGTGACGACTGGATGCATGGAAATATATGTATCGAGACCTAGGAATCTTTGCAAGAAGCTACAATCGAGTTAATGCACTTCTACCATGCATTAATTATACATGTACACTTTTTTTCTTGGCTGGCGACTCAGTCACGAGGTTAGTGGCGAGAGGTTGTTGGATTCTATCTGCAGGAGGTAGGAACCAAAGGTACATTGCTTTGGAGTGGACATCGGGGTGGGGGGAGAAGAGTTGAGCGTTAACTAAGGGAGTAATGATGGGAAGGATGGGAAGGATGGGCACACAAGATGCTGTTTTCCAAACTGCTGTCAACGTCTCGTTGGCTACGAATCAGAGGCGAGTGGTGAAAGGAAAGGTGAGACTTATGTAGAGTACTGACTAATCGACATGTCTTAGTACTCAATTGGGAACGACGAAATGGTAGGAGCCACAAGAGGCTTCCTTCGTTGTTCGTTCATTACGTTTTTTTCTTGAGATGTACGTACTCTAGCTCTAAGCCTAGATTTCTTTAACGTTAACGGGAATTAGCAGAAATCAGCAAAGTATCACCACCCAGTATGCACTATGCATATATGTACCCCGCAAGAAAATTTGTCCTATGAGGTCGACTCTGGAAAATATCCAGCATTTTTGAGTGGGAGGCATGGGTGTGTAGCTTTTGCGGTATTTTATTTCCCTCGTCTGTGGTTTGCTAGTGCGACTTTATCAAGCCAGGGACCGTTATGACATGGCCAGTAAGAAGTCCGTGAGCTAACTAAGGAAGCCTTATGGAATTTATGCAAGCTACCAATATTTTTGGCTGTGGTAAAGTAGAGTGAAGTTGGGGAAAAAAGGGTCTGGATGAACCCGCTCCGAACAGCCGCTGTATGCCCGGGTGCCAAGACTTTACGGTTCTCCAAATCAAGCGAGGGACAGAACATGCAAGAGCCATAAGTAAAACCGGTACACATACAAGTATTGTACAGACCAAAAGAACACGGTCTTTGCCACCAACGGGTTTTCCATGATTGCGTTGCCATAGAGGCCTGGCTACTCACGAAGGATGCTACTCGAAAACCCTGGCCACTATTTTGACCACTTATGGAGCTTGCAACTACTGACTGGATTGGAGAAGACAAGGATTTTTAGGATTTGTAGGTACGTCCTTGTTGGTCGAGCTCCCTTCGAGTTTTTTCGCTGCGCTCTAGCGTTAAGCTTATGCTGATTCGTTGTCAGTCATGGATGGGCACTCGGCAACGATCCCGCTGCTACTCAACTGGCCGTCCTCCAAAACCTACATATGTAACTAAATTCTAGGCAGCCTACCATTTACGGCAGGAGTAGCCTTGCTTATGAGTGCTGACATCCGAGCGTTGTCCAAAGGACCACTGATTTAGGATGGAACCAATACAAGAATTGAGGTGGAAACTGCTCTGGTTGTGTTCATGATAAGGCCTGACGTGGTGCGGATAAAGGAACGCCAAATCAGCGTCAAAGCAGTCGTGATAGAAAGAAATTTTTATGTCTTGCTGCATCAAAAGCTGAAGAGGAGGGAAAGTTTGAACATAATGAGTAAGTCCAGCATGTGATGCAGACGAAAGGATAAACACAAACAGGGTTGCAAACATTATTTCATGAGTGAATTGAGACGGTGAGCAGGAATTATACAAAGCTTATTATCATCGAGGACTATTCTAGTTCATTTCAGTCAATCTTAAATGTAGAAACGCGCATAATACGCTAGAAGAGCAATGCCCATTATTTAAGGCGTGCGGGGAATTCCTGTTGTTTTTAATATAGCATAGGGAGGACTGATTCGCAGCTGGCTGATCATGAGCCGCCTCGCGAGGACGACGACGACGTTTGATAAAGTACGCCGGTTGACTTTATCCGTACCACGTCAATAAGCTAAGTACCACATTGGCGGTTTACCACACCCGTACGAAAAAAGCAGATCAAAAAGTCGCTCTTCTTCTCTTCCTCATCTCAAATCATTGGCCTCGAAAAGATACTGGGGCCAATTAAACGCCAGTAGCCAACCAAATGCATACGAAAAAAATACAGACTTCTTCCCATAGATATAGGTACTAGCGGGCAGTCTATATGATACATATCTATACCTCCATAGGTTTCTTCACGAGCGAGCTTCCCGAATACAAACACAAACGCCCCGTTGCTCTCAATTCCACTCTTTAGGTGGCCTCGCTCACGCTCCTGAACATCAATTACAAATCGGACCCGACCCTGCTGCGCTGGCTTGACGGGCCTCCAAGTCTCAATCAAAACCTTCGAGAAGGAGAATCAATTGCATGAAAGAAAAAAAAAACTCCAGGGAAAGGTCTTTGAGGCTTGCAGTATGTGCATATGAAAATCCCACACCTGCCGTGCATGCGCTGTACAAGTATGTATGTGTGGAATTTCCGATCAAGTTCCCAGGCGGCCCTGCTTAGCTCGTATGCACGAAAATCAATGCTGCATATATGCACATAACCAGATGACTCGTTCGCAAGATTCTTTGAGATAGAATATTTTTGCAATACTAATTTTAACAAAGAAAGAAAAGAAGCGAAAGTATCGTGAAGACGTAAGCTGAAATAGCATATGAAAGCAAGAAAAAAGAGCAGAAACGTAATGAACATGAAATTCAGAAAACCTCTTTAAAAAATTGAAATCTTTCCCCAAACCCAAGTATAGAAAACCAAAGAATATATTTGAAAAGAAAAAAATACTAGAAACTATACCCCTGTAACATTTATCGCTCGCAAATCGTCCGCAGAAAAGTCGTAAACCGTAAACCGTCCGTATCGTAGATAGCCTTCTTATCGGACTGAGACAGTCTGACCCAGGGTCCTCGATCGCATTCTCGGGAACAGCCTCCGTAGACTAATCGTCCGCTTTTCCTTTGGCAGAGGTACCAATGTCAGCATCTCCAGATCCACTGTTTTGAGCTTTCTCTCTATGAAGAACAAATGCCACCTTCGACTCTGGGGATTTATTTAGAACCGTCTCTTCGAGAATCTCCCTCGACTTATTGTTGTTGACCTTCTTTGCTACCACTGGAACCTCAACTTTTTTGGCGACGGGCGCTGGGGCCTCAACCTTCTTGGCGACAGGTGCTGGAGCGGGTTGCAACGTCATAGCCGGCATCTCCTGGGTTGGTGTCTGCGGTTGGGTCGATGACGGTGATGGCGCTACTGTCTCTTCGTCCCAATCCTCGTTCTCCCACTGTGTACCGGAATCTCTCATCTGGGGAGCCTCAGTTTGCGCCTGTGTAGTGCTGTAAACGACAGTCGGCTCGGGTTCTGTCTGTGCCGTCGTGGTGCTGTAGGCGACAACGGGTGCCACAGGTGCCACAGGTACCACAGGCGCCACGGGTGTTGCTACAGGTGCTACCACAGGTGCCGCTTGGCGCTCAATTGGCTTTGCCTCGATCCTATTGACATCAACCGCTGCTGAGTTACCATTATCCGTTTGCGTTTCATTAGTACTGGTGCCCTTTGCAAGAATGTTCGCAATGAAAGCTGGTGGAAGGCCTCTAAGTTCTTCTAACTTTGCGTGTGGATCCTTGTAAATAGTCAGTATACCGCCCAAAGCTGTTTGCAATGTCAGCTCAAGAATCCGCGCAACATACCCAATCTTCCTGCGATGGAATTCCAGCGGCGCTAGGGAACTTCTCATCGCTAGCAGACAACCAATGTGGCCCAGTCCTCCTGATGGGGGCTGGTGTAATTGGCAAAGGTGGACGCTCGTTCACAACAACATCTGAATCATACTTGGTTGAAACACGGGGAGCCGTTTCTGATGGCTGGAAATCTTTACGGTGACGCTTCAAATCAGAGATATAATCCTGAATCCCTGGGACTGAGTCCCACTGGTTCTTCCTGGTGTAGTCCTTCCAATCTTCGTGGTCCTCGACAGTCTCCTCGACAGCTTCTTCTTCTTCCGGTGCCTCCTCATCCTCATCCAAGTCCGGGATTTCGTCAGCAAAGACACGGCTGGTCCGCCTTGGCTTCTTCTCCCAAGGGAATATTGGCTTTATGTCATCCTCCGAGGCCTTAACCTCGACTTGTGGTCCTGCACGTTCTTTAAAGACTGGGGGTGGAGTTGGAGCAGATACAATCCTGCGTTGCTCAGGCTGCCTGTCCCATTCATTCATATAGTTCATGAAAGGCAAATGACGAGCCTCTGGTGCAGAGCGAGCTGGAGGCGCAGACCTATAGAAAAATCAGTATCACTCATCATTATGTAATAAATGTATCACCCACTTAGCGGGGTCCCAACTATGTGCTGGTTCGCTATAGACAACTGATCCTTGTTGAGATCCTTCCATACGTCCATCATACTTGTGGGGTAGGCGTTCAGAGATTGGTGCCCCAGCATCTGTGAATTGCTGGACCAAGAAGCTTTGGGGACCAGTCTCAAAGTATTGTGCCTGTGGTACTGGTCCTTGTGGTGTCATGACAGAGTCTGGGAAAGCTCCATAAAATGGCTTCTGTTGAGGTTGGGGTTGAGCATTGACCAGAGGGGCTTCCGCACGCTGAACTTTGGAAGATGGAACAATAGACCTAACAGGGACAAACTTTGACTTTGGTGGAGCAGCGGCATATCTAGAATCGTTACGTTGGGTGAAAAGGGAACCCTGATCGTAATCACTCTCACCAGGCCACACACGAGTGGCAACCTTTGTGGACTTGGGAATAGGAGCAGCGGTTACTGATTCAACGGACCTTTGTGGCTGTGGCGGGTGGAAAGGCTCGGTCTTGTGCTGCTGTTGCTGCTGATGCTGCCGGGGCTGTTGCTGCTGATGCTGCTGCTGCTGTGGTTGGTGAAAATTCTGGACGTGCTGCTGCTCCTGGTGCTTGTGTCCGTGTTGCTGGTGATGCTCTTGTTCCTGGTGCTGCTGTTGGAAAGGCTGAGCACTGTACTGCTGCTGATGCTGATGCTGGAAACCTCCAGGGCCAGATGCGATCTCTGGATGCTTCCCTATTTCTTCTTGCTGTCCTCCAGGAACAAATGGCGCTGCAGAGTACACTTGCTGGAAGTGGTTATAGTTTCCATTCGCAGCTCCATGTGGTCTTCCGGTCTTAGCATCTTCCAGGACTGGCCTGAAATGCTTGTCCCAGACTGCCCACCATTGTCCCAAAAGTTGGTCGTAAGGTGTGCCGGTTTGCTGAGACGACGAAGACCTTCCTATTGTCCATGGCTTTTCCGCTCCGATGAAATGGGCCAGGCTGACCTGAGAGCCATAGTGGCGGAACGCAGGGACATATCTGCCAATATTGGTTAGTGAATGAATTTATCGGTGGGGTAATGAAGAGGACAAGTACTGATAGGATGCCGAAGGCGTGCAGTTGTATGTGAATGAAAGACGATGAAAGTTTCTGAAGTATGTGTTGAATAGTCCCTGGTCGGCACCTTTGAAAAGCGTCAGCTGTGGGGAGTAATAAGCTGCAGGTTCAAAGCATACCATCAAAAGAAACACCACGCCCGGCCAACTGCAGGAGAGAAAAGTAAGTTCCAGCGTCAGGTTTAAGGAGCATAACACCCTAATTTATAATCAGCGATAATGTCCGAGACATCAATTAGAACAAAACGTACGCTATTAAAACAGTCTGGCCAGCCGATATCAGGAGCAGCCTAAGAAGGTGTTAGCGTATTAACACCTTAAGCCTTTGAATTAGGACCAGGGCGTACAGCGAAATCGGCGTCTACGTCGAATAGCTCATCCGGAGCTCTCAGAGCAACGACATCAGCGTCAATGAATACGCACTTCCTGAATTGAGTCTGTTTCCAAACATTGATCTTTGTGAAAGCTGCATTGAGATCTAGACGATCCATGAGATCGAGATTTGCTGGAGTCTCGTTGAAAATAGGGTCTACAGGTATTACATATTCATAAAGACGCTGTTGTAAGGAATTATAGTTAGTATTGATGGGACGGAGAGGGTGGGATTTGATTTGCTATTCACCTTCAGCTCTGTAACTGTAGCAGGTGTCACACCTGACAAAGTGACCATTACGGCCAGCTTCTTTCTAGTGCCGCCATCACGAAGGGAGTGTGCTAGTACTTGAGCACCTATGAAAGAAAAAAAGAGAAAGTGAGCTATTGGACAGGATTGGATAGGAGTGAGAAATGCCTACCTGGGAGGTAGTTGTCGTTCAGAAGCAACTGGAAACAAAATACGTCACGGTCAGCCACTTGAACTCAACGATACGAGAGGAATGCAATTTCTATGGAAAGAATTGAATATTGATGATGAAGATGATAGTAAATAAAATAAAACAAAACAGAATAGAATTCTCACAGTGCAGTAGACGTCCTCTGTAGCCATGGTGAGTAATTCGATTTTTGATGATGCTCACTGATGGACACTGATGGACACTTGCTTGCTTGCTGAATGAAAAAAACGATGAGAGGAACGGCGGCGAAGAGACAGATAAAAGGGGTTTGAGGGGCGACTAGTAGTGGGAGATGGCGAGCGAATAGCAGGGCGGGAAACACAAAGGATACGGGACGGGCCAAACAGCCCTCAGCGATTCTGCGGAGAGGCTCTCTATGCGTGTTGCTTCACTCCACTGTCGCTCTATCGCTCTATCGACCTCCTCGCTATGCACTGCGTGAACAGCGATACACAACAATTATTCCCCCGCTATTATTTGCTGGCTATGCGTGCAGCTCCTGCTTGAGATAGATAGATTACTGTGGCAGACTTCCTGCTTGCCTGCCTGCTGCCTGCTTTTTTTTTTCCTGCTTGGTGCGCGATATCCTTCCTCCTAGTGCAGATCTGTTGGTGGGGGGCTAGGGAAACACGGACTTCAAACCAGACCACTAAGCCTGCTCGAAACGAGAAACGGACAAGAAAGTACAGCCCATCCAAGTTCTAACGTTCACAGCATATTTTGACGTCGAAACCCGCCGATCCCTCCCCCGAGAGGCAGCATGAATTAATGTGTCTGACGTTACGCACGTGCAGCGCCGAGAGCCTAAGCAAGCGAGTGAAGCGTTGGAGTGGAACCTTCCCGCTTGTCCCAAACAGTAAAGAAAAAAATCTGGTTTTGAGGCGCACAGTCAGATAAGTTTCTCCGCTCTGTGAATACCAGGCCAGTGAGAATCCGAGAAGGACTTTCGCATCCTTCTGCATCGTTGATTCCCACTAGGCTTTGAACCTCTTCGGAAACATCGACCGTCTCTCCCGGCTAATACCTATCAAAACCCCGGACGGGGAAACATTGTTGCTCTCCTTTCCGGATATAAGAACCTATCAATTAACCGTGGACGAGTGAACGATCGATCGAGAGACCTTTAGCCACACCGAACAAAATTATGGATTTGAAAAGCCTCTCATAACGGAATTGCCCCGGCTCGGGCCGTAAAAATAACAGCTTTGGCGAGGAGGAGGAGCTTCTCTCGGTATCGGGAGAGTGGAGCAGTATCGGAAAATCGAGCTTTCAACTACTCCAAGAATAGAACCGGTGTGGTATTAGATTATGGATCTACTAGGCGGCGGCATATCCTAATTTCTTGAGTCTAAACTCTGGGAAGTGATAGGACATGGCTTATTCCCGCGCTAACTTTTAGATGCTCAAAAAGTCCTTGCCCATGGTCATCACACATATCAGCAAAAAAAAAATAAGGCCCTCAGAACTGTCCACCCTACGAGTCTACTTTACTATCTACTAGCTAGGTACCTAGTTGGACTTCTTTCGCCACTTGGGTTTTTAGTTGGACTTTCCTTGTAACGTGGGGATCCCCTCACTTTTGTGGAGGTTGGAGATTTCCCCTCCTGGCAGTCATAAGCATGAACAATGATTTCGATGTTTAACGACGGCTCGGAAAATCAAGCACGAGCGATCTTGAGGAATATTTCGAGACCGCACAGCGAAAATGCAATAGCTGTTGAAAACGTGTAGAAAAAGCATAAAAACTGGCGCAGGGGAAAAAAAGGGACAGGAACTACCAATGACAAACATTAGTGAAATCTGAATGTTGATGCTCTTCTGGAGGTAGATCCTCTGGCCCGACTGGTCCATCTACCTCAAACCCTAACCCTGATGCATTTCTTGGGATGAAACCAATTGGAAATTGGCCCGTAACTGTTGTTTTTTTGGCAACGGCATTTCATGCGGTCCCTCCAAGAATCTTGCATGCAAGCCGTTTGAGGGAAGGAGAGCTCGGCCATCTCGCCACGTCCGCCTCAGTGGCACTCATCCGGTGCAATACTCCTTAAGTTCACCGGAATTTGTTGTACCCCTTCCTTCATGACAGCCAAAATATTAGTACAGGGCATCAAGGCAAGGGAAATCTATCGGCGGGTTTAGCACCTGCATTCATTACGAATGGATACGCGGCTAGGATCATCGGTTTTCCACGTGAAATTGCAACCGTGGAAAGACTCAGAGGGTGCAGTGAACGAGCGGTGGATAGATATGTTTCATGCATCGCGTTACAATATGGATCTAGCAGAATTCGAAAAAGCTACTACTGCTAATAAGGTACAAAAACCCACTCAAGCACCAACGGGCCAACTTTCTAACAATCCATGGGTTATTATATCTCAATATCACGCGTCATTTATGCGTTGGGATGGACATAAAATCCAACTCCATTTCTTCTTGAACGTCGATTCCTTATCTATAGGTCAATAGAGTGGAGAAGTTTCTTATCGATAGGTCAGAAATATCGAACTTTCTCACCGACACCGGGAAAAGAGCCAAGAATCATTGGCCTTACAATAAAGCCTGAGATGTCTCCTCTGAGGTGCTGAATCTATGTACGAAGGCACATACATTTATTCCTAAAGGAGGGGTCTACTCTGTAGCCGATATTTTAAATTTTCTTATTCCGGGTACCGGGAGAAGTCAGCGGGGATATTTTTACTTCCGATTATGGCTATTGTACCCTATCCATTAAGTTTTGAGCTCTTCGTCGTCGAATCAACTTTATACGAGTCAGCCTCGAACAACCGTTACAATCTGCAGTAACTATCATTTTACGGCGGGAATACAGTCTTACCAGGATTACTATATCTCTGGAAAGTAGAGTACTCGCTTTATTCAGGTAGAAAAGCCGGACAATTGCTCCTCATCTGATCCGAGGGTTATCTGCCGGAGGGGAGTGAGAATTTGTGAGGGATAATAATCTCAAGATATCATACCTAGGTTACGAGCAGCCGTCGGTGACAGCTTGGGACAGCATCTACATGTCTAGTCTGTAATAAATTTTTGATTTATAGACTAGACGGAGATCGTTGCAGAATGTCTCATGTAGAAGTGCTTCACTCAGCTCTTTCTAATCTAAGCTCTGAGCAGACCTTATTTTCCCGAACCAATCGTTGCACGGATATACTCACGCGGCAGTGGCTTCATTCTAGATACATGTTACATGGCGTACTGTAGCTAGATCTTCCGCCGAAATGCTCAGTTCACTCCTGGGAACGAGCGGGGTGGTGATGAGGGGAAGTACTTTTTTCCGTTTCGTTAAAGCAGATATCTCTAAACGGGTTTTGAGTACGCCACTATTCCCTGCTCCCCGGATCCTGAGCAAAAGCCTGAGCAAGTTTCTCACTTTGAAGATTTTGGCGATCTTTCATGTGAGAGCCTGTAGTTGTCCCGAGAAAGCTTGAAAGCTCAAATTAATTACATGCTACAGTACTCTAGAGTACGTACATTGAAGATCGCTGATGGTAACTAGGAGAGGTATGAATAAAAGCACAAGATCGAGTACCCTAACAAAAGAGCTCTTCTTTCTTTTAAGAATTTACCGATCAAGCTCCTTAGGCGTGATCTAGCTACTAAAGTGCCCAGAAAGTCCAAGAAAGCCACAGAACATTCTCTGCAAAGCACACACGACAATAATAACCCCAACGGCGAACTGCCAGCAACTGGATGACGAATGCGCGTACTTACGAACCGGACTGCTTTTGAGATGGCATAAACTGTGAAGAGTTGCAATGCAGGAAGGGAAGAGATTTACAGCGTCCGAGCGAAATATCGGAGTACCATAAAAAAAAAGCCGCCCACACGCGCCGAGTGATGCATTGTAAACCAAACCACAACAGCCCTACACATCGTCAGCTACCTGCTGGATCAGCGATGGCGGGCCCAAAGCACCCACCACTTCGAGAAAGCCCTTGCAGAATGTTTTCGGCCAGCAATGCTTATTTGATTGTTTCCCACTCAGCTTGTCGGTTGGCGTACATTGTTCTCTAACAAATGCGTCTGTCGCGCCGAGACATGCGTTATCAGGCACCTCTTTTCGTGCCACAGATAAGAAACATAGCCCAAGGGCAGGTGTTTATTATTTACAAGAAACACTGAGTTGTTTCATGACATCTACGATCGTTTAATAAACAAATCAGAAACCGATCGCGGGATAATATATCGCTTGATAGTGGACGGAATAAAACTCCCAATTCTAAAACAGGAATCTTGGGGTTTAAGACATGAGGTGGGGTTAACCGTCAGAAAGTTCATAACCCCCCACGAACCCGCAAAAGAAAAGAGGGGGGGCCTAGACTTGCTACCCTCTGAAAACTGGGGAGCTGTAAAAACACCATTCAAATTAGGTAGGTTTTCGCGCCGAGTTCAAAAAAGCTTGATTACTTTTCAACTGCCAAACACAAGATTCTGTTACTGCCGTTGTCACGCTTGAGACCCCTGGAACTCCCACATAGCGAGATTACTCGCGGTCTTGAAGGCCAGGTTATCAGGGCCCTAGGGTTCGAGGGACCTCTTCTTGGCATGTGAAACCTGGGCTCACAGATCATTGACAGCCTATCCAAGAGAACCAATATCGAACACAAACCAACCACAGTAGCCTTGGGTACATAGAATCGCATTAAAATAGTCTCACCTTGCTTGCTTGGACTTCACGATAGAATACCACGTCTGCGACATTTCTACCCTTAAACCCCAACTGCCGAGCGGTAAGGCTTCTCGGAAAATATTTTTGAAACTACATGTATGATATTCTAGTTACATGTAGTACCTCTGTGCATATGATCTCTTGGATATTGCCCTGCGTAGATCTCCGTCCCTGCAAGTAACGAGGTTCGGGCGATTGCTACAGAAGCTTCGATAGAGGTACAGGTTATATATCAGATCGGAAAGAAAGTCGGCAATCTTTTACTCTGAATGGTTGGAGCTACAGGAAATTTGGTGGTGCCGCGTGAACTATTTTCCGGCCGTTTATTTATTTACTCGTCCACCAATAGCAGATATATACAGCTTTTGAGATTAAGAGCTTTAGGCTTTTTCCTAGTCTTTGAGATTCCCGCCATCACTCCTCGATCAATGGCATATATATTATCAAAGTGGATGTAGTGTAGAAATA